TAGTGCACCTTCCTGAACTGGTGAAAGATTTTCCTTGTGTACCTTATCAAAATGCATCCTCTTTTGTTCCGTGGCAAGGCATATGGCTGTTTTTACTGCATCTTCCTATCATCTTCAACCTATTTTAATTTTTCCTTGCATTGACGACTTCGTGTTGTGTCGTGGTTTAAGCCCAGTGGGCAACTGAGCACCACAAGGCCCGCTCGCTCACTTCTCTCCCATTGCAGTGGGATGAGAAGAAAATAGAACAAAGAGTCTGTAGGTCAAAACAAAGGACAAAGAGGGTTCACTCACCACTTACGGTCACAGGCAAAAGGCAAACCCATCTTGGGGAGAAAAAAAAAAACCCAAACAGGGCTTGGGTTGTGCCCCTCTTGAATCATTGGCAGAAGCACTGATTGGCTTGAGTCAGGGTGGAGGAGGCCTAAATTGGAGCCAGGTGAGCTTCTAGCAGCTTCTTACAGGGCTATCTCCATAGCCCTCCCTGCTACCGATACCCCTCACAGAAATCCAATACCCATTGTTTTCCAAAACCAAGCAGAAATAAAGCCCTACAAGGAGGCAAATTGTGAAGCCAAAGCAGTAAAGGCTTTATGGCTTCCCTAACGCTTAGCATAAAGCAGTAAGGAACATGCGAAAGTTGGCTGTACTGTCCAAAATTTTTAAATGCAGTCTCTTTTACATAAAAGACGTATGTTGCTGTGACTGAAAAGTCACTACAAGTTCACAAGCAACTGTTGGGCTGAAGTACATACAGGCAAAAAATAGATCTTCACTGTCTGTGTGCTTCAGAATATTGAAGCACTTAAAAAAAATTAACAAAAAAGTATAGCTGAGGGAAATTTGAGCCAAATGAACCACCAAATACCTCACATAAGCAGCAAGGTAAGCGCTGCTGGGAGCTAAGCGGTTAAACTATTCCAACAGCAAGCATACTATATAAATTTTTTTCCTAGTATTTGGGCACTTACTGGACAATTCATGAGTGCAGCAATACACAGTAGCATTTACTGTCTGATCCATTTTCTAACCAACAGCCAAACTACCATCAACCCAGTGTACAGAACGTCAACGAATAACATACACCACAGTGTAAAAACGGCATGTCTGAAAGGCTGATGAAACAGATATGCATCTCCAGAACTGGGCTGAAAGGTGGAGATTTTGGGAACCTGCCCCAGCCCTTCGGGAGTTAAGGTCTCTCCAGCCTCTGAGAACTGGGATGGGCTTGCGATGCTCCTTACTAAAAGCCCTACCGTTCAGCAGCACTAAAAGTATCCAGAAGTCAGAAAGCAGACAGCACAACTGTGAAGAACAGTATTGATGAGGAGAACAAAACAACGCAAGAATAGAACCCAGATATATAACAAACTTTAATGGACTTTTTCTCTAGCTCTTTGTATTGTGCCTATGAGCTCCAGATTTCTCTAAGATGTAACAGCATCCAGCCTTCACAGCATGTTTACAGTGCCTCCCACAGGACTACTATGGCGAGATTTCTGTAAAAAAACCCTTTTTCCTGCCTGTCGTCGAAGATGTCACATTTGACTGTCTTTATGCTTTACAATACACCAGCCAGGTGCTGCTCTTGCGAAACACCCAAATCTTCCAGGTGTTCCGAACTGTAATAGCTTACACAACTACTGGGTTATTCTTTTGCTTTTAACAGTCTAAGACACTGAAAAGAGGAGAAAATGTAAGTGTTGCCCACTAAGTACTACAAAACAATTTCAGCCACTGTATGCAATTTCGTTAAATACAACCAGCTCTCTAAGGAAATGCTTCTCCAGCTGAGCAAAGGAGCTATTTTCACGTCCGTTCCCCTTTCTGAAGCTACTAGAGGAAAATAAGAGCGATGCACTTTTAAATGACTTTGGCATAACTAAAAGAAAACTTCACTCTATAAGAAGCCTGGTTTCTCTCCTTATTTGGCAGTAAGACATGTCCCAGTTGTGAACGTGGCTTGAATACAAAGCACATTGTAATTGAGCTGTATAAGCATTTCAGTTTTAAGATGGCACTTCCAATCTTTCTCTCCGTTGCATGATCCAAAGACTATAATGACTTAAAATTCAGAGTTTCCAGTTGTTTACAAAGCAGACTTAGTTGAAAAGCTTATTGTTTAGGAGCCATTATTCACCCACAAGTTAAAATAAAAAGTAGCTGAAAGGGTTATACATCTCAGAGGTATTTAAATGCTGAGCTCCTGTATTATTAGTTCACATGTTTTGAGAAAAAACACCTTGGAACAGCCAAATTATTATTTTACATGAGGTGGCAGTCAGTCTAGTCCTGTGTTCTCTCTCTTATCATGGCTTCAACTAGCCATTTTAAATAAAAAACCCTGTTCCAGTCTGTTTTGAGATAGGATGCCCCAAGGGAGTTTTCTCCTATTGCCCAATAACTTGGGAGACTGGCTTGTGCCCTAAATCTTTTCCAAAAGATGCTTTTTTTTCTTTCCTTTTTTTTTTTTGTAAATTTTATTTTTTCTTGCCAACCCTTGAGGCTGATGCTTTCTCTTCTACACCTTACTAAGCTCTTGGCCATACCATTCTCCCCATGGGGTATTTCTTTTCCACAGGCATGTGACAAGGCAAAGCAAACAGCAAAATTTAAAAATTAACTGGAAAAATTAATAGAAAAAAATAATCATCCCTTACTCTTAAATGAGCAACTCACTACATTTGGCTGTGGAAATTCCCCAAGCAAAGGTCACAGGAGGGTAGAAGGATATTGCAAGGAAAGACCACTACCTGCCTCTTCTTCTGCTCCTCTGGGGACATTGGCTGTAGGCAGCAGGATGTGGGATGGCAGCCCAGATGGGTCTTCTCACCTGCTCGTGCTTATACAAGGTATTTCAGCCCAGAGGATCTAATCATTCTAACTACAGCAATAAACCTCACTGGCATGACCACAGCTTATGCATCCTGGGCATAAAACGAAAGTCAATTGGAAACTGTGTGTCAAATGGGCAGGGCAGATGGTACATTTACCAGCTTAGACAAGACTGAGTTACTGAAACACTAAAACTGAAAGATCAGGCTAGAGATCTTCACATTAGATACAATTTCTCTCTCAGCAGGTGGATGTAGAGCTGGAAATCCACCCACGGTACAAACAGAGGGATAACTGCTTTTTGATCAGCTTTTGACACAATGGAACAAATCCTTACCAAACGCCAATGTTACTCAGAGGCTGCTGCAGCTGCTGCCTTGAGTCCTGTCCCTACACTTATCTGGGCTATGCAGGAGCAGGGAAGCAACTGTATCTCCCTGATAGAAATTTTGGGGAGCAGCCAAGGGGCGATGTGAAAGGATCCATTCATGCAGTGGTCAGCAGTGGGAGTGCTTATGGGACTCATGGACTGCACAACTGCAGCAGACAGGGACAGCAAATCTGCACTCGTGTCCCACATTATGTTCCCTGGTGCACAGAGAATTTATGGTAGAAATCCAAGAGAAAAAATAAAACATGGTGACATGTTGTAATAGGCTAAAAGGTATTTAATTGTTTATACAGTCAAAGAGAACTACTGAACTAATAAATGGGTTGTTATTCCTGTGAGGGTAGGACAAGTGGCACGTTAACTCATTTTATCATCAAATTAATACCAGATTAGTGTGTTTAATTGATCTAAATTGTTCTAACCCACTTGAGGTTGGCATGTTTGAACCAGCTTGATGCAGGCATGTCATAATTCATTTTTTATTTTCCTTAGCCAGCTCAGGGAATTTTAAAAGAATCAGGTGCACCAGAGGATCAAAAAGGCCTAAGAGACCAACTGCTTTTCCCTGGCCATTTCCCTCTCCTTTTCTCCCTCAACTCTGCTGTCAATTACTACCGCCAGCTAGAGCTGAGCCTGCCAATCACTCTGACACCGCATTTCCCAAACCAGAGTCTCTCCTGTGAAAACTGTTGACTCAGATTTAAATATTATTCCTCACAGTATTATTTTTTACTACCTGTTATAGAATTTCTGCATGCACAAAATGAAAGCTCGTGAGGACTTCATTTAAACTGGAACATGACAGAACTGATAAATCAAGAGCAAAAGCAGCCAAGAAGAGAGAGTTGTGCATTATTCTACACATCCACTGTGCAACTCGGTGTGTCACATTCTCTATGTACACTATCTAAGCCCAGCCTGACAGTACACTTGACATTTTACAGAAAAAAGAGATGACCTGGTGACCCAGGCAGACCAAAACAACATTTTTAGGTACAAAGCAACAGGGACTCAGCATACGGAGTTGCTGGAACTGTTGCAAGACTGCTGTGATGGTACAAAACCAGCGATAAAGAGGACAAGAAAAAGTATCAATAAAGAGGACAAGAGGACCACTGCAATCAGATGGGAAAGGTCTTTCATCTGCAGAGGTTGTTTAAAGCTTTGGAAACACGGTGGTTGGTCACTGCTGCTCCCTCAAAGCACAAAGCTGTAAGCATTACTGCTGTGCTGTGGGAAATGCAGCACATCCTCTTCTCCCTGAGAGTGGATGAAGAGGGACACCGATCCAAGGACTTCAAATCCGTAGCAATCATGGTAACTCTCCAGCCACCACCCTCACCTTTGCTAGCAACTGCAGGCTGGCACAGGCTCCCATACCTTGCAGTGATGCTCTGCTTGCACAAGGCTTTCCTGCAGATCCTGGCAGGTCTTGGTCACCAAGTGTGGCTGGGACTGACTGGGGCAGGGAAGTGTTGTTGTGGGGGGCAATTACTGTTTGCTCCCAAAAGACCGATCTGTGCCAGGCCCCAAGGAGGGAGCAAGCTTCAGTCTGCTTAAGGTCTTCCTCCCCACAAAGGCATCTTTGCAAACTGACTCTGGGGAAGAGCCATTCTGGACCAGCAAACAACTGTCCTCAGGAGAGGGTTTCCTCCCCATTTGCTTCTCTTTCCTGGAATGGTGATTTCTTCACTTAGATAATGGTGGAAAACTGTCACTACGCAAAAACTCTCAGTGCCATGGTTAAAATAAGCTGAGGAAAGGGCCAGCTTACCGTGCGTTGTCCCTCCCATGCGATTTCAAGAAGTTCATATCACGATATCTGGACAGGAAAGCTACTAGCTGGTCATTTGTTCTGCAAGAAAAAGAACAAAAGATGCACAAATTACACTGCAGAAATGACTATGTTTAGAGTAATTTATATACTTATTGTTCTCATTGAGGACCATCTGCAGACACTTCGAAGGATGTAGTTGCTGAAACAACTTCCATCCTGCTGCTAAACTTCATTGCCTCCCTCTCCTCAGGAAAGCGTACTTGGGAAGAAGCACAGCTTTATTACATTTTAACAAATTTCATATCAACTCTTGGCAGATGTTTTAGGCATTGTAACAGAATATGCATTAAGCAATACTGCTCAACACTTTTTAAGTCTGAAAATCCAGCTGTGAGACGACTGTGTTGATACCCCCCCTTTTACATGCCTTGCTAGATCCTTCCTAGGGAATTTGGTTAAGTATCTATTGGTATTTTATTTGTTTTCATCCTTGCAATAGAGAAGAGGCCAAGATTGGAATGCATAAAGCAAGAGAATTTGGATGTCAAAATTTCAGTATAATTAATAGGAACAAAGGAATTTAGAAGGTTAATTCCAATTAGTATGACTGGCAATCTGACACAAGTATTTTCAAAATTTCAGCAGACACGTCCAAGAATGTATCTATGCTTGACAGCTTTTGGGGTCTGTTATTTCTTTAACAGTGGAGCTAAAACATTCTCTATTTGTCTAGGTCAGAATATTTAGGAAAACTGAATAAATCATACTAGAAAAATCTTAAATCTTCTGACTTGCATTCAAAGCAACAACATTATAGATACAAGACCGTTTAAGCAGTGGTCTGTAATGGAGTGGATGGCAGAAAAACTAAAGATAAAATAGTTGTCAATAGTACTGTATCGTGAAAACATTTCATTATTATAAACCACAAAACCCAAAGTTAAACCAGAGCCCTGTACAAAATGCGTTTAACTTCTGAGGTCAGGCTGCAACAACTTTGAAATGTTATCAGTCTAGTAAATTATCTTCGTATCTCATAAACCCAATTCTTCTGCCATCACAGGCAGCATTTCATTATTGAACTGACGAATAACGAACAAGTTAACCATTGATTTTATCTGGACCAAATGAAGTATCTGCCTATCAACCAGCCTGAATGCCCAGGCTGCAGGAGCCTCAGACCCTCCTCCTACGCTCACTCATGTGAGCTGTAATACCTCCCAGGGTCAGCTCTGCATCTCAATTTGGCAACCTCAGAAAACTGCTTTCTGTATAGTAAGCTGTGCAGATTTTCACATTTGCTGCTCCAGTGATTCTCCATCTTACTGGGATGAATAGGCATTTAGTGAATTTACTTAGCAATGCTTCCACATGAAATGGTTTCAATGGCTGACATCTTCGGGTGAGTTTCTAGGCAAAAGCTGGCACGCAAAGATGATCTTTAGAAATATAACCAAGTTTGGAAGTGCTTGAGCTTTAATTTTCTTACAGGATAAAAATCAAATCAACTGAAGTAACAATCCACACCACTCAATAAATCATCATCATTGATGATGATTGCTCACCAACCTTTATCTCGCTATTCAGCAGTGCTCTACCAAGTTTATTTGGACTCAGGGCTGTCATACTAATTTTTCAGTGCTTCTCACTTTTTATGTAATGCTTATAAATACCTACATGATTTTTAGATCTCACAATAATTAATAATTGACATTTTCCAACTTCTTGAAAACATTGGTGGCATCTTAATCCTACTTTCAATTTTTTATTTTTGTTTAAGGACTTACACAGTTTTGTTCTTTGTCAATTAAGTATGCCTCTTTCATGTGTTCACAACATGGAAATAAAACATCACATTTCCATTTGGTAAAACTTCCTAGTTATTTGACATTTAGATTTATGTGGTCAACCAATTCTGTGCTCAGCATGGGAGCACACTGAATTTCTATTAAGCTTTCATTCAAAGTGCTTCTTCTGGCCCCAGTCACGAGGATGCTGCACACCACCTCCAATTATTTCACCACATGACATTAAAAAGAAAATCAAACGTACTGAGCACACCATAGCTGCTAACGCAGTTGGCTAAAATCCCCCTCACCTTTCAGAAAACTTTGCCTTCATTTCCTAAATGACTCTGGCACAGATTGCTACCACACTTCTTTGTGTATGGTGGCAGCAGAGTCTCTGCACCACCACAGTGCCTCTGGTGCCAGTTATTTACAATGCCTCTGGCACTCCTTCTGAGAAATACTAAAGACACGGGGCCATTTTTTCCCTAAGTAAGGCAATGGAAAACTGAGATTTTCAGCTGAAGACATCACTGGGAGCAACATCAGCTCCACACTGCCAAATTAAATTCTGCTATAGCTCCATAAATTTCAGGGATAATTCACTAAGCATAAATCTGGCACAAAACGTTTTACAAATGACCACGGTATAACAGAAAGTAACAAGTGCAACATATTTCTAGTATTTGCTACCTAAGGAAAAAAATACAAGGTCATGGGGATAAGGAGAGTAGTTTATGCTACTGACTAAAACACACTAATATCTTCATTACATTCCTACTGGTTTCCCTAGTGTGTAACACAGAACAAATACAGATTGAGAAAAAAGCCTTTCCATAGTTGGTGCATGAGGCTGGAGCTGACGGATGCATCCACACAGCTCCCACTTTTATTTCCTTTTCTCATTAAATTCACTGGGAGGGTGAGGCACCAGAAAGAAGGATTAGTCAGCTAGTAACCTGTGAGTTAGCAGGAAGGGAGCACGAGTAGAGAGCCCGAGAGAAAATGTGCAGTTTTCAGGAATGCAGCATGCAGAGAAATGGGAACCTAATCCTGCAGTGAACTCAGTGTGGAGAAAGCTCATGCATGTAGGAGGGCTTCCATGAGAAGATGACAAGTGAAGACAACTGATGGGGAAACAAAGCTTTTTCTACTTCACTGATGTAGATTTGGTGTTAAAGCAAGGGCAAGTCTGCCAGCTGGGCAGAGGGGTCCATCTTATCTGTTAAGATAATCTCAGTAACATCCTGCTGCTCCCCTCCTGCAGCAAGGGTGGACAGAGGTAGCAGGGGCTGTGCCTGCCTGCTGAGACACCACACGGCAAAACTCAGCCAAGCCTCCCGCAGGGTTGGGCTCAGAGGATGGGAGCACTTGGCCAGGCAGGTGGGGGGGGGCCCTCTGGAGGCTGTAAAAGCAGCTCCAGGGCTGCCGGTGACCCAATCCTCAGCGCTGCTCAACCTGAGGATGCAGCTGAGATTCTGAGTTGGGGCTCAGCCTGAGGATCAAGATTAGAGGTCTAAGAAAGAGAATGATGAGTCCTGCAGCAAGAAGGGAATTCAAAAGATATTGCCAAAGCAAAGCAAGGCAAGGTCTGCTACTTGTGTTTTCTCACAAACAGCTCCTGGCTGGCGTTGAGGTGTCCCAGGGCACAAGCAGACTAACCAGGCACTCAGTAAGCACATATATATGCTGAGCATTGCAATAATTTCAGAATACATCGTATACACTGGGGACTGAAATGGAAAAGTGGGAAGAGAAACACTGACTTTGTTTGCATTGTCTGAACATGCTGGCAGGTCTGGCCAGGAAGTGGTGTAAGTGTGCACAACCACAGTCGAACGCTGTGCAGGACAAAAGGCAGTGCTGGGCTTGCTGGTTTTAAGTAAATCTTCCAAGTCCTGGTGACTAATCCAAGCAAAGAACAGATATCCCCTCAGTTTACAGCTGTGAAAACAGATTCTAAGAAAGTCTTTGGTGAATCTGAGAAAAGGAAAACAAGCGATTGTTACTTTTGGAAGTTAGGGCTAATATAAATGTCCTTGATTCAGTAAAGTACTTTAATGTATCGACAGCTTGAAGGATGTAAGGAATAGCAGTCACTTCAATGGGACTATTCATAACTTATACAATTGCATAACAATTTATCTAAGTCAGATCAAAAGTTCAGAAACCTCTGCCAGCATACAGGTACAGAAACAAGATAGCTTGATGCTGTGTAGGAATCAAATGAAGAAGCAAAGAGCAACCGCTCTGTTGGATTCTGGGGTTGGACTCTGCCATTTTGGTGTTGCCTGGGCTGCCCCCTGTGTGGCGAGAGCCCATTGCCCCTCTCCAGGGAGGGTATTTCAGACACACTCGTGTTGATCTGCTTGTCCCAGTGCAGATCCTAGGGCTTTCTCCCCACAGCCTGGACTGGGAACCAGGGTGTTACCTGGGCACAGAGCAGGTCACAGCTTCAGAGACAGGTAAGACCCTGCTGATTAACACAGGGGGTAGTGACAGAAAGAAAAGGTTCCTGGGGACCACAGATTGCTGCAACCCAAAAAGCCACTGACTTAACTGAAACTCAGCCCAAACTCCAGAGCCCACCTACACTGATGTGATGGCACAGGCAGCACTGCCAAAAGTCTACTTTGGTTTATTTTCTGCTTCAGTGGGGAAGGTTGCTGGTAGGATGGTTTGTTTCAAATGAACTCACCAGTGAGGTCTTCAAAAAATCTCCTCATTTCAGGTAAATCTCTCATCTGGGTTTATAAACTATTTCATTTATCAAGGACCAGCGGGCAATCTTGTTTCAGACTTCATGAAAGTGTCAGGGGCTACACTGCATCTGCATAAAAGTACACATCATCTCTCAGTCTCCCAGTCACTTAATTTCTGATCTATCAGAAAGGTAAGGCTAAATAAATGTTTTAGATGTTATGTGTATCTACAGTGTTTCTGCTTGGAAAGCAACTCTCGTATTGGGAGAATTCTTTTGTTACTGGCTCAGATTTTGAGACAAAATCTAATGAAATTTGTTGAAATCTCTCACAGAATCACAGAATCGCTCGGTTGGAAAAGACCTCTGAGATCATCACGTCCAACCGTTCCTGTCTACCCCCTAAACCATATCCCTAAGTACCTCATCTACCTGCTCTTTAAATACATCCAGGGATGGTGACTCCACCACCTCCCTGGGCAGCCTGTTCCAGCTTCTGACAACCCTCTCCTGTGGTCTTGCTGAGCTTTAGACTTCTACAGGCAACTTCATTCTCTTCTGTCCTGCTACACTAGCAGTGCCCAGGAAGA